TTTGAATAAATCAGCACTGTTTTGTAGTTACTTGGACTGCCTCGCCTCTCAGAGTCAGTATGGTAAAAAGTACCGGGTACAAAAGACTACGAAAGAATACTAATATTGTTTCATGTCTGATGACTATATTGACCCATTTGGTCACTGGGCTTATTCAGTACTCCATCTGGCCTGACTTCAGTACTGTGGTTTTCATACTCTTGACATATTTTAAAGCACACAAAAACACTCGGCTCTGAAAAATATCTTAACAGAGTTTTGCACAAAAAAAAGTTTGAAAAAGTGGCTTCAGTGCTGACCAACATTTATCAGATGAAAATAACTGTAAGTCAGGAGGTTGGGGAAGAAACAAGAGGAAGATAAGTTAGAGGGAAAGCTAGAAGAGGAGTTAATGAGAGACCCAAGAGGGATGTAAGGGGGAGAGCTGGGTGTGGAGCATGGGGAGGAGCTGCTCGAGAGGGCTGCTGCTGGGATGTTTGGCAGGCTCGGTCTGGGGCTGCTGAGCTGGTTGAGGTCTGGAGCAAGTGGTCCAAGCGACACTCTGAGCATCTGAAAACAGCAACAAACATTAATGTAAGTCTTCTGCAGTATCACACATCAACACGCCGTCAACTGTTTTACTGTTGGGACATCTTGGAAAAAGTTTTCACATCTTTAGATCTTATACTCTAATTGAATGCAAAAGTATTTGCATTTAAATATATGAATGTATCAAAGGAATTGTTGCACAAATTTAATCTCTTGGAGCTAGTTTAACTGTATATGTTGCTGCCTGTGAATATCATCAAAACAAATGAATGAATGTCACTTTTGGCTTTTTCCCATTAGGGGTCGCCACAGTAAATCGTCACACTGACAATTTGCATGTTGACATTTGCCACGTGTTTTACGCTGGATGCCCTTCCTGATGCAACCCTGACTCAAACCTGGGCCGCAGCAGTGGGAGGGCTGGGCCCTAACCACTAGTCTGTCAGGAAATCAAATCAAATCAAATCAAATCAAATTTTATTTGTATAGCGCCAAATCACAACAAAAAGTCATCTCAGGACACTTTACAAAGTAAGGTCTAGACC